CTGATCTAGGCCTCTGGCAGGGGTGATTTTTTTTTGGCGGGGGGAAGGGATGGACACTTTGGGTTATTTGAAAATGGAACACCCTCTGGCCTCCCCCAAAATTAAATAAGGAAACTAATTAATCCACAAGCAATATGGAATATTTCACTATATGGATGGCCATTCCTTACACACCCTGATTCTAATATTGTCCTGTACTGTATTGACAATGTTGGGCAGCAGTTATACTACTATGTCATACTTTATATATTCATGTCATCATAACATTTGACTATTTGTAATATATACTCCTTTACATTTATAAAAAATATGTATATTATATTATCTGTGGACTCTTAAAAATGATTTTTCTCCCCAATTAAAAAAAAAAAAGAATCTGGCATTGTACAAATACATAGCAATAGATAGTAAGGCTAGTTGTACATTTTCTGACAAAAGGTTTTTGTGACAAAAATTGGGTTTTTGAGTACACAGTTATTTGCAAGTATCAGAGGGGTAGCCGTATTAGTCTGAATCTGTAAAAAGCAACAGAGGGTCCTTAAGTGAGGTTCTTACCCACAAAAGCTTATGCTCCCAATACTTCTGTTAGTCTTAAAGGTGCCACAGGACCCTCTGTTGCAGTTATTTGCAAGTGTCTGTTCACCTTGAAAGTTTTTGATTTTTTTATTGGAATACGATTTTTTATAAAGTTTGAGAGGTTTTTTTGGTAGAAAGTCAACATTTCCCAAGAAAATAAAAACAAACCAAAACCCCCTCTTTTTTGAGCAAGTCTAATTGATAGATCCTGTCCTGAAGAGTTACTTTGTTCCTCTATGTTGCTGTTATGATTGGATAGCATTAACCTTGACTGAGAATTTAGTCTGTGCTTAGCATTTTATGAAAACTGAAGTACAGAATTACTGGTAGCAGGACAGTAAAATACCAAACATAGGACATACTATCTCATCCCCAGCATTTTGTAGCACTGAAAGCTCAGATTTTCCTAGTAACCTGTTCCTTCATTTATCAAGTGAGGATGCCTTGAATCATTTTTTCCTAATACTCTGTCCTGCTGCACAATCACCAATACTGTTAAGAACTTTTTTTTCCTAAGATCTAACTTAAACTTTTCCTTTCTTAGCTTCAAGCCACTGCTCCTTGTCCTAACATCATTTGAGACTGAATAATTCCCTTCTTTCATTTACATTGTTACCTTGAAGGAATTTGATTAATGCAATTCACTGATTATGACACCTTCTGTGGCAGGTGGCCACCATGTTACACTAATTTAATTCCAATACTTTATAATAATTCACTTTAAAGTTACACAGTAGAGAAAAATAATAATTGCATATAATCATAGGAATTATCAAGATTTACCTTAAATTCATCTGATAACTCTTTTCTACACAGTAGAAAAAATGGTGTTAATAGCAAAAAAGAAAAAAAAAGGCAAGTTTTGCATGTACTTAACAATTAATAGTGCTGCTAGATGTTTCAGTGGGAATGGTGTAAGACAGAGTGTTTTTACCTCAGCTATGTAACTTTAAACTGCAGCTCTGCTATTAGGCTGCTACTGTATTTAGTTGGCTGAAGCCTCTGTTTACATATACAGTTTATATATACAGTCTGTATATACACACACATTTATTTCTCTCTTTCTTTTCTTTTAGCTGATGGATGCACTGACTGGTCGGTGGATTACAAGAAGTATCAAGTTCTAGTGGGAGAGCCTGTTCGTATAAAATGTGCATTATTTTATGGCTATATCAGAGCAAATTACTCTCTAGCACAAAGTGCTGGCCTTAGTTTGATGTGGTACAAAAGCTCTGGACCTGGAGATTTTGAGGAACCTATAGCTTTTGATGGAACTAGAATGAGTAAAGAAGAGGATTCTATTTGGTTTCGGCCAACAGTGGTGCAAGACAGCGGTCTTTACGCATGTGTTATAAGGTACTTTTAAAAAAAAATTATGCTTGAATACAGTGAAACACAGTAGAATTATTGCTCCTAATACTGAACCTTTCTGCTACCATCCACAGCACATAATGTTTTCAGTGATTTTGGTCTTTTTTCCCCCTGATTGTGAATGTTTCATGAGTAACTTAGGTTTTTCTTGAAAGTATTCAATATTCAGAATTATTTGCTGTATAATTTATAATTTTAGCTTGTAGATTTATATTCAAAATGTGAAGTATATTGATTAGTTTTTATTGGACATATCAGTCATGTTACAGTTCCCTCTTCGATGTGCATAACTATGAGAATGAAGTTTCTAGTGTGATTGTTTGTTTACAAATTCAGAATTTATTTTCTACACGTTTTCTCCAATATTACCTTTGTACAGACTGATTTTTGCAAAATGTTTTGCCAATAACTAATTAACTAGAATATTTTCATAAAGTGAATTAAAAATGGGTTTAAATGCAATCAAAGCAAACTCATTAAAAAGTTTACAGTATATGCACCCTTCTATAACTGTCACTGGCTCAGTCCTGGATTGGGAGCTTAGGATGCTGGGTACCTTCCAAAGGTGCCCAGCACCATGTAGTATTAAACCCCATTATCACAAAATCAAGCGTAGTTCTATTTCTTATTTTGGAGATGAATGTTCCACTTCTTTCTGCATTTCTGATAGGTCATATTGATGTATTGTTTCCAGCCCACAGAGATAATAGAGACCATCTGGCCACCCACTTATCTTTTCAATATAGAATTAATTTTACAGATAAATTAAAATGATGCAAATAAAAAACCCCTGCTTGCAGAGGGGAAGCACAGTGGTAATTATAGGTAAATGCTTGTTTTTTATCATGAGCCACTGTATGTGATAAACATTAAAACTCCTAGAAAACTATTATTTTTGTATCCTGGTAGCCTGTATTAATGCACCTTTTTAAACAGATTTTGTTTATGATGGTTAAGAACTTCATATAATTTACTTGGGATGAAATGCTACTCTTAAAACACCCACAAACTCTGCTGGATATCAACAGGAGTTCTGTGTGCGTGGATAGAGGGCAGATAAATATGACCTTTTTGCCCAAATCCTGAAATCTTTTATTGTCAGGTATAAAGCCTATTAGCATTTAAAATCAGTGGGCCTTATTATGATAATATGCTCTATACCCAACAATAAGAGTTTGTAAAGTTGGACCCCAAAAGTTAATATATACAGTACTTCAGTGACCTTATTAGAGAATGTAATGTGAGGCAAAACAATAAAACACAAAATAGTGAATTACTAAGTGAATGCCTCCTCTCCTAAATTCTCACGTTATGAACTAATGGTCTTAACAACATAAATTTACAAAAAATATCTGAGATTTTGAGGTAAAGCAGTGCAGAAAAATTCACTAAGGTTCTAGCAGCTCTTCCAAAGCTATCACTGTTGAAATAGCTAGGAAAAACCGCACCATCATGACAGCTCTGTTACTGTCATCACCACTGAAACTACTAGAACATTCTGTGCTGCTGTCTTGTAGGTGGTGCCAGGAGGCAGAGTGAGCTGTAGAATCTGGAGAGGCATATGTAGGCTTGTATGTAATTTTTGCCAAGAAAGACATTGTAATATGCAGTAATGGGGTGTGTGTGTGTGTGTGTGTGTTTTAAGATTCTTTGTTCTTGTTCAAAGGGTCTCTAAAACAATTCCACAATGATGCTAAGCTTACTTTAGGGCTGTACTGAGCAGCTCAGTTAAGGCAAAGGGGACGCATAGTGATACACTCATGACCATAGTGTGACTACTTGCACTGTTTTGTGTACTGTATGGAGCAAGGAAAAACATTGTGCTACAAATGAAACTTTTTGAAAAGTTTAAAGCAAATAACCCAACTCTTTGAGTTCTAAAGCTCAAAAATGACGGTGGTAGAGAAATCACATTTCTGACGATAGCAAATGAGTTCTTATTTAAGGAGTATTCATAACTCAGGAAGAGATCTTGACTTTGACTTCAAATTCATTGCACACTTACTCCTCCATGAGAACTAATATGTAAGTCGGAATGCAGCTTGTCCTCTCTCTCTATCCAATATATTGCTTTGGCAGTACTTGAATCACATAAATGGTGTTAGTAGGCTCCTACTCCCAACTGCATGTCACAAATAGTCTTAAGAGTTTCCCTCTTACCACATCCATTCTTGCTCTGACATTTGTGGTCCTCTACTTGCCATATGTCTTGGGGGACAAAGGCTCAATGATCCATTAGTAAATAAAGTCCTATCACAGAGTAGAAGAGGAGCTAAATTGTTGGGGAGGAAGGGAGGGAATCACTGAAAAGAATTTTCTCATGACCTCTGGAAGGAGGTTGCCTCTTGTTGTTAAGAGCAACAGAAGTAAAGAACAGAAATGGATGGTTGACAAGTCCCTGGGCCATCAGAAATTCACATAGGGGCTATCAGAGCATAAAGAACGGATAAATAGGCAAGTAAGGAAGGTGAGCTTTAGAAAAACTACATACAGTTTTCTTCAAATCCCAGACATAGGAAGAAGGGGTGGAGTGGCCCGGGGTTTACCATTTGCTTTGCCCTTTGCAACTGCTCTCCTCTCCTCTGCTGGTATCCTATCCCATTTCTGTACCCCTGATCCTTATGTAAACAGTGACGAAAAGAAATTTTTCAGCTTGTAGAAAAAATAGAGCAACTGGGATACTGAATTGTGAGTATATAGATATGGTGATAAGTGAAGTACTATATATAAATGTTTAGATACATGGTTTGGGCAGCCTCCCAAAAGGATGTGCTAGCAGAAGCGAATAATCTGATCCCAAGTGGAATGCCTCTTCCCACTTTGTTGAGGACAGTTCTTTGCCAGTCTGATTCCCTTCCCTTCCCTTCACTTCAGGAGCTAAAGATTGGTGCTTGTGTGCGTGTGTGCATGCACACACCCACATCCTCTCACTCCCCTCTCCTATGCTTGCAACATCAATCCTCTCCAACTTCCCATTCTAGCCCTCACCTTTGCCCTTCAGTAAATGCTGCCAGCCATAAGAAACATGCACAGCATCATCAACATTTTGCAATACCTTTTTGCTATATTCAATTAATCTGCTTCAAACATGCAGGCTATAGATACCTTCCACCAAGTTAATGCTTCCTGGAGGCAAGATGGAGAGGTCACCAGATTGGGCTGGAAGTGGAGGAGAAGGCTTGCTGTCCCTGTGGCTATCTTCTTTGATCACTATCACATTAGTAGCATTGAGAAGACTGCTAGACCTATAGAGTAATGATGCATACCACCCATTATTTTGTAGCAGCCTTATACATGTAAAAAAAGTAAACAGATTTTATCTTATATACAAAAGTACTTTCATGTGCTGTGACCTGTATTCTGCGTTGCAACCCTGAGGAAGTTGAAAGCTGTAGAAAATAAAGGTTTACAGTGGATATTCCATCACGCTGTTATCTATTGTGTTTCCTAGATTGCACTATTGTTGAATGAATATATTTCTAAAGAATTCTCAGATTTTTTATAAAAAAAAACCTTGCCTTTTCAGTTCCAGGATCAAGTCTGTCTCTCTAGATGATCAACTTTTTGTTCATTATTACTGCCCGATGACTCATTAACGTACAGCTGCTAAGAAAAAATAGTCTTTTGTACATTGTCATTATGCTGTGTACGTACTGGTAAGAGTTTGTGCTTGAATTACAACTTATATTATTTCTGTGATAGCAATCAATAGTCAGTATTCTCTTCTCAAACTCTGCATCCCTCTTCTTGCAACAACTTGTGACTATGATACCCTTTTACATTATTTTCCTTGTTGTCTGGCTATACCAGAAGGAGCACAGGAGACACTGGGTATGGCTTAATTATTAGATGTCTGGAAGAACCCAGCAGATTAAAGAGTACAGTGCAAGTAACTCCATAATCATTTCAATATCTACTTCGGGACTTCCGTCAGCCCCCCGCCCCTTCTATCTTGGTCTATGAGGAGTAAGGTTGGCTATAGAGGAGGGGGTGTTTGGCTCCCTGCCGTGCCAGTCATAGGTGCCCTGAACATCTCCCTATTCTGCTTCTTTAACAAACACCTTCTTTAAATACTTTACCAAACCATCCATATGATCTCTGTATCCCCTCCCTTCAGAGTACCTGCACTGGACGTCCACCACAAGGAGGCACCAGCAATTAGCTTGATTGCCTCCCCCACATACCCAGCAGGGTTCCCAGACATCTCTCACTGCCCCCTATAATAACCAAAAATGTGTCTGTGCCCAAGTCTGACAGGTGAATTCCATTACCTCTGAATAATTCTGTTGCCCCATATGCTATGTCAGGATGCAAAATTACCAACCTCCCTTATGATCCCCATGAATTTGGCCATGTCCCTACTGATATAACTCCTAGTTTTATCAAACTGTGGGTGGGAGGGGGCTTCACAGCTCTCTGCCACACCCTGCATTGAAGGACGTTTCACCACACAGTTTTTACTCCTGGAAAAAGTTCCAGGATCTGCCTCAAGTCCCTCTTAACTCTGAGCATTAAGGCTACCCCTTTACAAATCTCTAAATCATTTTCTCCAAGGTACACCACTATTATATATGGTGCCTACTGATGATCCCCCACAGTGTACAAAAGTGACATCAACTGGTCCTGTAACATGCCCCTTGTTCTGTGCCAGCTCAGGATTGCATCATCACTGAGCCCCAGCTGTGAACCCTCAGGCAACCTGAATGTCCGCTTACGCACCCAGTGAACAATACTGTGCTCACAGATCCACACCACCATCTGCATGGCCCATCTTCCCACATCTGGAATAAGAACACTACAAAAAATGTATGCTGACTCTCCACTGGGGTTTCGCATACATTCTATATGCTTTCAAATGCCAACACCCAATTGCTTGAATTGCCCCAGCTCCCATACCTGTCACTGCTGTTATCTTCCCAAACCTGAATGCATGGGAACCAAATTCATGGGCTGGAAATCTCAGCCTCGTCAGTCCCTGTCTCAAC